CCCCTCCCCCCGTGCGGCCGCGCGTGACGCAGCTGCTCAGCTGGCGTCGCCGCCGCGCACAACGGATCATGTGGTTTGCGGCGCACCATGGACGGACCAGAGTGCTGTCCTGAGATGGACACTGACCTGCACACTGGGCTGTGGGCGGCAGCGGTCATCTCAAACATAAACTCGTGCTCCCCCACCTTCACCCTTGACCGCGGCGCAGCACCGCGAGCGCGGAGATTCTCAAGTGGAAGGCGGTGGCGGAGGAGAGCCTGGAGGCAAAGCGCGTGCTGACCGCCAGGTGCAGCGAACTGCAGGCCCAGCGCGACGAGGTGGGCACTGGTGTTAGTGTCTCGGGAAGGGGAGCGGGGGTACAGCAAGGGGGAGAGAGGGTCTGGCTGTGGCGACGGCAGAATGGCGGCTGAGCCTGGTCCTTAAGGGATTGCCGTTCTTTGACGCTTCTGACTGCGCACACAGCGCGGTGCTTTGCGCTTACGCGCGCACCCCCCACTTGTTGCCAAACAGCTGCCTGCACGCAGCACCCCCCTGCCCGCCTCTTTTATACAAGTCCATCTTCTCCGTCCGAACCCCGTCCTCATCCACGCAGTCGATGTCCATCAACAAGGACCTCGTGGCTGGCTTCAAGCACGTGACCGCGCAGCTCTCGCTGACCCAGAAGCAGGTGCAGGAGCAGCAGCAGCGCCTGGCGGCGATGCAGGCGGCGCTCATTGCGGTCAGGGCCGCAATCGAGCCCGAGGGCGGCGAGGGGGCCGCGCCGGCGCGGTGGGGCGGCGCGGCGCAGAGGCAGGCGCAGGCGGGCGCGCGGACCGGCGCGGCAGGTGCGCGGGGCCGGGACGCGGCGGGGGTCTCTCGGCCAAGTGCAAGCACTCCAACCCTGCCTTGGGCACCCAGCCACTGCCCGGCCCTTCTCGCAAACGCTGGCTTGGATGACACCGTCATTCCCTGCGGCAACTGGCACATTGAGGGCTGCTATGCAGCATTTTCTTTATGCTTGGCTGCGCATCCTTCTCATCAACGCTCCTCGAACCTGGCGCCCCAGGTGGCGACCTGTCAGAGCAGCACATGGCCCAGCTGACGCAGCTCAGCGGCCAGATGGCGCGCGACGCGCAGAGGTGGGCGCCTCGCGGCACTCAACTCCCGCTTGACGCTCGGCATAATGCGCGTGGCACCGCCACACCCGTTGTCTAGCAGGCGGCGTATGCAGGGGCGGGGCGTCGGTGCATCTCTGCATGCCCTGGCACGCTGACGTGGTGTACAGCAGCGTGCGTGAGCCGGCTTGCCAATGCACTTCTTCAATCCATATGCACCGCCCCATGCACCGCCCCAGAGATGATGAGAGGAGGGAACTGCTGAAGGCCCAGCTGCTGGGCGCCGGCGCCGGCGCCAGCAGCAACGGCAACGGCGCCGCGGCAGCGGCGGCGCCGGTGGCGAAAAGCGGCAGCAATGGGAGCGGCAACGGCAACGGGACGGCGGCTCGCGGCGCAATGGCGGCCGCCAACGGCAAGGGCGTCCCCGCTGCGGCGGCGAGCGAGGCCGCCTAAGTAGACCCGCACCCGTGAAGCCCGTACGTTTGAGCACAGACAACGGGCGCCTCCGTGGCTGGCCCAGCCAGGCGCTGCCCCCAGCCACCACCGATTGATCTGTGCGCGCACGCCCGCACCACACCACCCCTCAGTTGAACAGCTCACGGACAGGTTTGGGCGCAAGGTTAGACCAGGATTGGTTGGCTGCTGATTGGCGTCACTTTGGGCCCGCGTTTTCTCTGCTACTCTGCCACCACCAGCCAACGCCCTGGGAAGGGAGAGGCCGCCCTCCGTGGGCAAGCGGCGCATCGCCGCGCACACTGTTGTGCGCGGCGGACAGCCGTCCGGCGCCACGGCCGGCCGCAACGCTGTGGCCGCTTGGGGCGACGCGTACACCCGCCTATCTCGCGCACGTCTCCTCTTTTGGGACGGCTCGCCTTGTGAACTTTTCGGGGTTTGGGGCGTCAAATGTCTCAGTCAACAACAGTCGTGGCTGGCCACCCGGGCGGACCATCACCCCTGCAGCCAGGGTGCAGCACACTGGCTTGCACCCAGTCTTACTGATACACCTGTGCCATCGTTGCTACAAGTGTTTCGAGTTGGCCACGTCACTTCATGTAGGTCCCAAGCAAAGCATGCACTGGTGCCGGGGCCCTGATTCCGTCTTTGGAGCCCGCCGTGCGCAGCTGCCGCAGGCCACAGATTGATGCACTGCACGGCCGGCCACGCCCGCGCCACCTCACCCTCACTGAACCTTCTGGTGGGCGGTCGCTCATCCCGTTATCCTGTTCCTGCGACCCACCATCTCCCAGCCCGGCAGCCGCGCCTCCACCGCTTTGCTCGAGGACCGCGGGACTGGCTGGGCGCCGCTGCCCGCGCATGGCAGCGTCGCGCTCATGCTGTTTTGTGTGCATTGAGCGCACGCTGCCGCTGTAACACTATCGCTTTCGTTCGCTACTGCTCTCGTCTGGTTACGGTACTGCTCAACCTTTACTCAAGAGTTGGATCTCAGTGGTATGAGGTCGTCGCCAGCGCAGCAGGGGCAGCTGCGCCGCGGCAGAGCGCGCATAATGGGCAGGGCATGGCGGCGTGCGGCCCCAACGTTCCAGGCCTGCGAATGGCGACGCCTGCCGTGACGACGCAGCGCTCGCCCTTCATGCCAGATCGCAGGGCAGCCCAGAGCCACCTCTGAATCGCTGATTTCCTACAACTTGCCCGGACCCTGGCAGCCGCAGCCAAAACGCCAGCACGGCGTAGAAGGTCGGCCCTTTTGAAACGGCCGCATCTCCCAAGCTTGACGGCCGCGGCCGTCCGGCCCTGCCGCGGGGCGCGCGGCGCCGGGGCCACGCAGCGGCGGTCACTGGCCCTGCAGCGGCGTCGGCTGCAGCATCTCGTTGGAGAGCTGCGCGGCCGCCTCTGGGAACCCGACGTTGACCAGCAGCTGCGCCAGCCAGCGGCGCGTCGTGTCGTCGCTCTTGAGGCACGCCGTGAAGCCGGGGTTGCGCAGCAGCTCGGGCAGGCACTGGCGCAGCGCCTCGCGCGCTCTGAGCGGGGGCGGGAGAGGGGGGGGGGGGTGCAGTCAAAGGCCACCGGTTGAGAGCGTGGGCAAGGGTGTGCATGGGCCGCCCGGGGGCGGAGGCGGGGAGGCCTGCCTCATCGTTGTCATTGTTGGCCAGTGCGCAGGTAGTGGCCTCGCCGGTCCCTCGACACTCGTACAACTCGACACCCTCTGCCCCCGCCGACAGCCGCGCCGCCCCTCCTCCTCAGCCCGAGCACGTCCAAGGTGAGACAGCGCAGCGACGGCCGCGGCGCCGCGCGCGACCGCGCGCACCTGGGGTTGTCCGAGAGCCGCAGGTAGCAGCGGATGATGTGCTTCAGCAGCCGCGGGGAGGGCTGCTCCGCGAGCATCACCACCATGTTGCCCAGCACGGCGCCGACGGCGAAGAAGCGCTCCGCGGTGGCGCAGATGTAGTTGAGGCCCACCTGCCAGGAGGGGAGTTGCGTGATGGTGGGGCCGGGTGAGGTATCAGGGGGTAAGCAGGGATGAGGAGGAGGAGAGGGGGGGACACAGCGACACCAGCATAAGTGGGCAGACCCAAGGCGGGCTGCGCGAGGCCGCCGGGCGCGCGGGGTGATGCGGAGGCGCCTGCCGCAGGAGCGCGGGGCGGGCCGCTTCGAATATGGCGACCACTGCTCAACGCGCCCGCCGGCGCCGCCAGCGGGGCGTGGGGGGGGGGCGCTCACGTCGTCGAGCAGTATCTTCTGAACAATGAACGTGGCCACTGTCTTGGACAGCTCGCTGCCCATCTCCATGGTGCGCAGGCACAGGGGGATGATCTCTGTGGACAGCAGGAAGTTGATGACGTCAGTGTCATCCACCTGGGGGCAGGGGGTGGGGGCGTCAGGGGCTCGGCGTGTCAGGGGTCAGGGGGGCGTTGGCGGCGGAGGGAGGATCAGGGCCGGCAAAGGGTGCTGGGTGGTGAGGCTGGTGCGGAATCAACGAAGGTGTCTTGGGAGCAGCCGCACACCAGCACCATGCGCGGGTGGGGGCCGGCAACAGGCGCAGCCGCTGCTTGGAAACAGCGGCCACCTCGCAAAACGGTGGACAGGCAAGCTCAGCTTGCTTTCAAGCTGCGGCGGCCCGCTTGTGTCGGCAGCACCATGCGCACAGACGCCCAGCGTCGTGCGGCCGCCATGCAGCAGCGCGATTTCGGCCATTGCGCCGCACACCCTGTGCCCGGCCTGCGGCATCCGCTCCTGACGGTTATGTGCGGGGCCGAAAGCAAGGGCGAGACGCGCACCTTGACCAGTGCGCCAATGACGCCCAGGCTGGTGAGCCGGAGGTACTCGAACGGCCTCGTCTTAGAGACGGTGTTGAGGAACGGGTACAGGAACAGCGGCACGTGCGCTGAACGTGCGAGGCGGGGTAGCGCGGGAGGGAGTGTGGCGCGTCAACAGACGCCGTGGCCCCTACTGCGGCCCAGCCGCATCGCCTGGGCGTCACTGGAGCACCCGTCCCGGGGCGGCGGCTTCAATGCGGCAAGCAACGTCGAAGGCGTGGACCTCACCTTGAAGGAACAGCCCGCGGGTCTCTGGGTGCGACGCGACGCACTGCAGAAGCGCCAGCGCGTTGCACACGCGGTTGCTCGCGTGCGCCGTGAGCGCCGGCGGCGAGAGCAGCGGGTAGATGGACACGATCTCCTGCAGCAGCGCCGCTATGGTGCCGAAGCTGTACCAGAGGTATGGCGCCAGCTCAGGGAAGTTCTCCCGCTTCTTGCTGAGCTCAAGCAGCGCATTTTCCCGTGTCGCCGGGTTGATGAGCTGGTGCACGTACGTCTCAATCTCGTTGCTGCTCATGGTGCGGCCGCTGCGGCCCTAGGGCCGCCCTTTCACCGATCCAGAAGGATACCACGGGCCACAAGGGCCTGGACACGGGATGAAGGCTTCTGGCTGCCCTGCACACTGCCCGTGCTGTTGCTGCACTTGGTTGTTCGTGCTTTGCCTGTTGCGGGCCCACTGAGTGTCAGAATACAGCTGTTTATATCATTAAATCGACGCAAAGCAGGTGGAGGCGATGCAGGGCTGCGGAGCGTGATGACCTAGTACAGCTAGATCGTTGCGTCCGGCTGCGGCTGATAAGAGACTTTTGCAGTAATCAAGCTGGGTGTAATCTGTTGTGGGCACGCACACACAGTCCTTGCTGTTGAGCGGCACAGGGCGTTCGATGCTGATGGGAGCCAGCCAGGCACAGCCAGTCTGCTGACAAGCTAATGCTGTGCCATGTGCAGCGCGTGTTGCTGGCTTGTTTCAGGGTTGCGACTCAGCAGCACTTCATGTACGAGCGCCCACACATGTGCATGCGACTGCGTCATCCTGCTGAGCACTGTACTGTGCTGCAGCGCGGCAGTATTTGTCCATTCAAGGGCATCCATGCTGCAAGCGTGTGTGCATGCAGGCACCAAATTCAGGTGCGACTGGCCCCAATATGCTGTGCAAACGTTGCTCCAGCACTCATCCCATGGCATCACCTGCTGCTGCAGGCAATGCTGTCAGAGGGATCGTGCTGCAATATGACAATCTGCAAGCAGAATGAGCCGAGGCCTTACAAACCATATGCGATGCCATGCACACGTTTCCAGCTCTCTTTCCACTGCTATCTGCTCCTACTCCTCTCCAACGCACAACCTACTGTACTATCCTGTACACCTTGAGGCAAGCTGCTCTGATGACTTTGCCATAGTCTGAAGCCACAATGCACTTGACGGCATGAAGGCTTATAATGGCTTGCCTGCCTCCGCCCTTGGCGCTGCACCGGTGGCCGTGATGAGGCTCCCACCGCTTTGCACGCTCAACGCTCCAGCCCCACCACCGCTGCCGCCGCCGGTGCCGCCGCCCAGCAGCTGACCGCCAGCCGCCGCCTTATTCATTTTAGTCAGCTCCTCGCGCGTTTGCGTGCTGAGCCACGCGCTGTGCCGCGCCGCCGCGGCTGCGTTCGGCGGCGCACGGCGGTCCAGCGCGCCGCCGACTTGCGTGTCCCTCGCGCCCTCCCCGTCGCTGCCGCTGTCCACGTCAGCATCCACCGAGCGCTGGCCCCTTGGCCTGTCGCCCGCCAAGCTGCCGCCCGCTTGGCTGCCGCCCGCCTGGCTGCTGCTGGCGCTGCCGCTGCGCAGCCGGCTGGCGAGCTTCGCAGCCAGCTGCCGCTGCGAGCCGCGCAGCTTCCCCGCGCGCCCGCCGCCGCCGAGCGTGTTCAGGGGCGCGGCGTCCGTCGGACCGGCGCTGGCGGCGCTGGCGCTGCTGCCGCTGCTGGCGTAGCTGGCGTGGCTGATGCTGCGGGCGGCAGCTGGCGGGCGTGTCAGCACCTGCAGTGCATGTCCAACCTGCTCCTTCACGCGCGCCACCTCCGCTGCCTAGCATACGTTAAAAAGGGGTGTCACGTTGAAAAGGGGTGTCATATGCAGAGATAGGGTCTGTAAGACACCGTTCTTGACACAGAAACAGCACCAAGCCATGCTGCAACGCCGCACCAGGCCGGCTTGCCGGCCCTGACCCCGAGGCACCGCACGCTGCGGCCCACCTGCAGAACGCCCTCCGCACCGCCGATGACCTGAGCCTCCGCCTGCTGAGAATCCAGCGCTGCGCGTGCACAAGGTACAAGAGGGGAGTGCAGATTCAAGAGTGGGCACAGAGGAGCCCTGCTGCGCAAATAGCAACGCAGCGCGTGAACACCGCCAGGCGGCCGCTCCCCGCACCTACCCGCGTTGATGCGGCTGATGAGGTCCTCAACTCGCCCCGGGCTCGCGCAGCTGCCCGGCCTCGCCCCCAGCCCTGCAGCTGCGCCGCCGCCGCCCAGGCGGCTGCTGCAGCCGCTGCCGTTTGAAACCCAGCTGTCTCGCCGCAGCGAGGGCTGCCGCTGCGCCGCGCGGCCGCCGCCGCTGCCGTCAGCCAGCGCGCCGGGCGCTCTTCGCTGGTCTGCGCCCCTGCCGCCATCGCCGTCGTCATCCTCCAGGTCAGACCAGCTGAGGGTGACGGACGCCTCGTCATCGCACGGCAGCGGGGGGACAGCTGAGGCGGGGCCTGTGACCGATGACATCACTACCGAGCCCGCCGCGCCGCCGGCGGCCTGCTGAAGCGGCCGCGCGCACACCAACACCAGCGCCGGCGGCGGGGTGGGCTGCATTGGCACAGTGGCTGCAGCGCTCACGGTCGCGACGGCGGGGCCGGGCAGCGCCGCGGCGTCAGGGGGGCACACTGGCGCGTCTAGCGCCCCTGTGGTCCCTGCTGGGCCCGGCGTCAAGCGGCCCGCCGCCGGCTTGTCATCGCCCTCCTCCGCGTCGCAGACAAGGCCCAGGCGGCCACCCAGCAGCTGCTGGCCCGCCGCGCCCGGCGCGCCGCCGACTGCGGGCACCGCCAGCCCCTCGGGCGCCGGCGAGGCGGGTGGCGGCAGTTCAGGGGACGCGGGCTCGGCGGGCGCCGCGCCCTGGCGGGGCGGCGTGTCGGGCTTGGGGCCCTCGGCCGCGGCCGCCCAGCCCAGGAGGCCCCCCATGGATGTGAAGCTCATGGGGCGGCGCAGCGCGTCCGCGCCGACGGCTGCGGGATCGGTGGCCGCAGTACCTGGTGCCGACACGCCGGCGGCCGCGGTCGCGGCCTGCTGCTGCGGCGGCTGCGGCTTCTGCTGCTGCTGCACAAGGGGCCGAAGCTCCCCGGCAGCTCCTACGGGGGACGGATCCGCCCTCGGGACCTCGTCCGTGAGAACCTGCATCTGCAGCGGCAGCACCTGCGGCGATCGGGCCCGCTCAGTCGCTACCGGCGCCGCCGAGCGCCCCGCGGTGCCGGGCAGCTGCGCCGGGGAGGCCGTAAGCATCGGCGAGCGCAGGCCCGGAATCCTGCTGGGCGTGGTGTGCCCAGAGGACTGCCCCTGACTGTGTGCGTGGCTCTGTGCGGTCGCCACCCACGTACTGGGGGTCCAGGCCCGCCCGACGCCCGAGCGGGCGCCACTGCCGCCGCCGTCGCCGCCACCTTTGGAGAGGCCCGGCATTTGCTGCGGCGCCTGCCGCTCGGGTGCGGCGGCGACGGGCGCGGCGGCACGCGCCGCCTGGAAGGCCGAAAGCCCCGTGCTCGGGCGGGGCCGCTCGAAGCCGGCGGCCGGCGCAGGGGCTGCGGCACTCGCCTTTGGGGACTGAGCTGCGCGCTGCGCGGTAGCCGTGAACTGCGGCAGGGGCACGGCCGCCGGCTTGAAAGGCAGCAGTGACGCGTGATGCTCTGCAACCGCCGCCGCTGCTGAAGCCAAACCCTTGCGCTCGGGTCCGAGCGCCGGCGACCGCGGGCGCAGCGCCGCGGCAGCCGCGAGCGCGCCTTGCGGCTTGGGGCTGGCTGTTGCTGCGGTCGCCGGCAGAGCGGACTGAAAAGAGGGCAGCATCGAGCCGCTTGGCAGCCGCGACAGCCCTCTACTGGCTTGTGATGTGAGGTGGGCACCGCCGCTGGCTGCTGCCGTGGAACCGGGCGTCTTAGGCAGCCGGCCTCCCACAGCGTGCGTGTCAGGCGTGGCCCGAACAGGCGTGCGCTGCCGAGGCTCTGGCAGGGCGATGCCAGTGCTGGAGGCCGCTCTGCTGCTGTTGGGTGCTCTGCCATAGCTGCTCGCTCCGCTGTTGGCTGCTGTTGTATTGCCAGGCTGCTGCTGCTGCTGCTGCTGCTGCTGCTGTTGCTGCTGCTGTTGCTGCTGCTCAAATTGCTGCCCTCCTTGCCCGACAGCCGGCGCTTGCTCCTGTCCCTGCTCCTCCCGCTCCCTTGACCCCCTTCCATAGCACCGCTGCAGCTCCGACATTCGCTCCTCGAAGCTCAGCTCGTCCCAGTGCCGCCGCCCGCCAGGCGCGCCCGCCGCCGCCCCGGCCGCTGCCTTGCCGGGGCTGGGCAGGGGAGTCGCCACCGGGGTGGTGTAGAACTCCCCGTCGTCCTCTTTTACGTCGGCCAGCGTCATGCAGTGGGACAGGGGTGCCTGGAACGCGCTGATCGCCGCCGTCGAGCACCGCATGGGGTCGCGTGCGCGCCGCACGCGCGGGCCGGCGAGCGGGCAAGGGTCTTCGTCCTCCTCCCCGTCGCCGAGCGCGGGGGACGCGCCGCCGCGGCGCAGGGACGACGGTGACGTCACCTCTGCCATGTGCGGCAGGCTGAAGCTGCCGGAGCCCTCCGCGGACGGAGGCATGTTGTCGCCGCTCTGCGCCCGCTGGGCCGACGGCCCGGCCCGGGCCTCACTGCCCGGCCAGCCCCCTGCGCCGCCAAAGCCGCCAAAGCTGCTGCCGCTGCCGCGCTCCGGCACCGCGGAGGCGCCCGCGGGCGCGCCTAGCCAGGTGCCCAAGGACATGCCCACCGACCCCCGAGGGGCGCCGCCTGCTGGCCCCGGGTGCTGCTCTTGCTGCTGCTGGCTTCGGGCATGGTGGTGCTGCTGGTGTCTGGGTGATCCGCAACCGTAGCGAGGGGACGGCTCTCCGCTCGACGGATCTAGCCCCTCGCGGTCCGCCGCCGCTGTTACGTCGTGCCGACGCCCCACCTGACCTGCAGGGACGGCCTCGCCGCGCAGCGTCAGCCGCAAGCCCGCCCCCTCGCCCGCAACGCCGCCGCCGCCACATTCGCTGCCAGCCGCGCCGCCGCCGCCGTCATTGCCATCGCCGTCGCCGCCGCTGCTCAGCTGCAGGCGCAGATCGAGCATCAGCTGCCAGACAGCCTCCTCCGGCAGCTGCCTGAGCAGCCTCAGCCCCGCCGCCGAGCCGGCCGCGACGCCGCCGACGCTGCCGCCGGACGACTGCACCGCGGCGGCGCTGCGCGAGAGCAGCGCCAGGAGGCGCTCCCGGATCTGCAGCACCTGGCGCTCCGCGGTGACCTGGCGGGAAGGCGAGCAGGTGGGCAGGCGTCTGGGCCGCTGAAACTATCACCCTTGCCTGGGGGGGCGCGCAGGCCTCTGTGCATCCCTGTCGATCCGGTTTGATGCTTGCACACAGCAGAAATAATAAGATTTTGCGCGACACGGCTGACCCCTGAGCTGCAATGTCCTGGCGTGCAGGTCTCGCAAGCTCCGTTCCAATCAGCTCTCGCTCGCGGCCGTGGCCGCTGGCCAGCCCCCACCCCAGTTGTCCTCCCCCCCCCCCC